AATTAGCATAATAATTCATAATTTTTTTGTTCTGTTCTGTTCATATTAGTTACCGGATGTACATAATTAGTTTTCAGCTTTTCTATCAATATCTCATGTACAAGTAATTTTGAATTAATTTTTAATGTGTCTTCAATACTCTCAGCACACGGGAGTTCTTTCTAAGCTTTCTTTGATTTCACTTGCTGGTGATATGCAAGTGAGTTAATCGACAATGTAAATATATATCCTATATGCTATTCTTCCATTGTCCACATTTCACAGTAATCGTTTCTACACTAATGACACAGGAAATGTGTTTATTTGAGAAAACAAATTGAGAATTACAGCTATTGTCACTTTAAAATATCCACATACCTCTCCAGTTGCATAGAATTCATTGTCTTGATATTCATAGTAAATCTGAAAGAACTGGGTTAAAGCACTATAAAGAAATACATTTAAATAAAGTTAGCTAAGCCAACAACTAAAGTGTGAAATGGATGGCTTTATTAATATGACAAACAAATATTCATGAATTTGAAACAATGGAGGGGGGAGGGGGGTAAATGGGACTTTTAGTGAAATTCAAAAATCAGACTGTGATAATTTATGCATCAAAACAATTGTTGACAGTATGTACAGTTACAAAACTGACAGAATAAAACGGGAAGGAATTTGTTCAATTGGTAATAAATTTATGATATTACAAAGGAATCAGTTTTTAGTTAATATTTTATGATATGACATTCGCTTGGCATACCTGTACAAATCGTTAGCAACATCAGTTTCGTTTCTAGCGTACCCACTGTCGTTATCAGTGAAACTAAACCCAGTGCCAACCTGAAAGTGACAGAATAGTAGATAGATAAAGAAATGAAAGGTGAGAGTGGTGAATACAGCTGACAAGTAAATGCTTTACAAGATAAGGGTGCAGTAGATGTCAGAGTTCATTATTCAGTTTCTGACCCAGCTGACACATAATTGTATAGCCATGCCATCCTATGCCATGCATCTCATTGCTTATCAAGCACTACAGACAGTTCAACATACCAGTGATAGCATACTGTAAAATACTTTATTTTAGCTGGAATTAATTTTCGCTGTAAAGACATTTTGGGTGTTTTGACAATGACTTTTGACTGAGTTGAATGTAAAATATAGGAAAAAATGTATACTCGTTGGATTTTATTTTCACTGAATCATCCCTTCAGCGAAAATAGCTAAAATTAATTCCAAGCGAAAATAAAGTATATTACAGTATTACAAAATATGGCATATGTCACATGACATACAATTTATTATCTACTGTTGACTGTGTCAACTTTCAAACGACAATGTAATATTTTCACAAACATGAGGAAGTCATTTAATACACTGATAAAAGCTTAAGATATAGACCAGACATGAATTGGTATTGTTTTGGATGACTTGGTCATACGACTTCTTTGAAACATAGGGGTGAAAGCTATTACAATATGAAACAGAGGTGGAAGGTAGAAAACAATATCTTACAGGGTTATCTATATACAGCATAGAATACTTTGTCTGCCAGGTGACAGGTCTCATACTCACTGAAAAACAAAATAAGTGAAACATTTTCTGAAACTGACCCATGTGATTTTACCTGTAGTTTATCTCATGATGTTTGCTACTAGCAAAAAAGGTTTTAAAGCCATTATGCTAACTGGGTTGAACCATTTTACTACCTGGGTTGAACCATTTTGCTCCATGGGTTGAACCATTTTACTACCTGGGTTGAACCATTTTGCTCCATGGGTTGAACCATTTCGCTCCATGGGTTGAACCATTTTGCTACCAGGTCACAAAGCTATCCCAAGACAATTCAGACCACAAACAAATTATTGTTAATGTGACTTGATTATGTTCTTGTGGTTTCATTTTGTTTGTGTACAATTTTGGATTACTGTAAATGTGTAACAACACACTTCAGGACAAGCATGAAATAGCGATGACAAACAACGTTTGAGAACTGAAACAGTTTTTTTTTAGATAGTATTTTTATTGACACAGAAGAGCTATGGTTTCTCCCATAGACTTGCGTAACACAAACAGCTGTGAAACAGCTAAAAAATCAGGAAATGGTCGTCTGTTACTATAAGTATTTTGCCATGATCAAGAAGAGCTAATTTGAATGCGTTGCCGATTCACGATAACAAAATAAATTTAGCAAATCGTTTTAGCATGTTTTTCGTGGATAAGATTAAGAAAATCAATCAAGGACTAAATCTAAATTTATTGAATGGAAACCGTTTTAACGAACTGCACAAGTTCTCTGGTGATGAATTGAAATGTTTTGAACCAGCCACGGAGGATGAAATAATTAAAATTATAAAAAAATCGTCGTCGGCTTCGTGCGATTTGGACTGTTTACCCACTAATATATTAAAAGATGAAAAGATCCTTTCTATCCTGCTTTCACCTATAACAGATATCATAAATGAATCACTTCGCACTGGAAGTGTTCCTGAGAAAATGAAATGTGCGCTGATTAAACCTCTGCTCAAGAAAGCATCGTTGGATTCAAACATGCTGAAAAATTATCGACCGATTTCTAATTTGTCTTTTATATCTAAAGTCCTTGAACGTGTCGTTGCATCCAGAGTGAAACAACATTTAGAGAATTATTCGTTGTATGAAGAGTTTCAATCAGCGTATCGGACCGCACATAGCACTGAAACGGCTCTTTTGCGGGTCGCTAATGATGTACTATGCAGTATTGATAATTCTAAGAATTCAGTTGCTCTCGTACTTTTGGATCTTTCAGCCGCTTTTGATACTGTGAATCACAGGATTCTCATCGATAGGTTGAGATCAAATTTTGGTTTAAATGGTCTCATCATCAAATGGTTTGAGTCATATTTGAGTAACCGCATTCAAAAAGTGAAAATTGGAAATGTATTTTCTGATATGACGTCTATATTAGAAACCGGTGTTCCACAGGGCTCCGTCTTAGGGCCATTATTGTTCTCAATGTACATGCGGACATTGGG